TCGTAAGCCCTCGATTGTAACATTTCTTCCACGTATAATATTCAAATTCTTTAATCGAAGACTTTAAATCTAAATTCGAAGGAAGACACATGAAATAAAGGTTGTTAAAGCTACGTAATTACGTAATAATTGAAAATCACACGTGCAATAAGTATAATATTGTTTGCATTTCGTATTTATTTCTGATCAAATGAAAGATACTTCTTAAAATATTATCAACGTGGCTAGAAACACATATTATTCTAACGGACATGTAAAAGAATAAAAAGATGTCGCTTATGTAGAATCTTCAGTCACTTAATTATGCAATATACTTTTTAGCTATTCTCTTTATCAATATCGGTTACCAATATTTTATCAGTATCTATCTGCATACAAGATTAAATTAAAGACATTCACTTGAATTTCTTTGAATATCTTTGCTTATACTTACATGAAATACTTATACGATAATGTATACATGTACTTCACAGATTGGAAATTTTACGCAGATTATTCACGAGATTTATTCCTAGATTAAATTCATTTATTTTGATCACTTCGACGTCGTTTAATGGACGATGCTCAAAGTAAAAACGCTTCAAAAGATTGAAAATATTTTTTTAAATCAGAATAATTAGATAAATCTAAAAAGTAAGATTAGATAAATTAATATTAGACAATATTATATTTAATATTAGATTAATTTAATATTAGATAATATTAGATAAATCTCAAAGTAATCTTTTCAGAGAAGGGATTCAAAAGTTGCTTGATAAATGAGAGATTATTTCTAAACTAAAATGTATTTCAATTGTTTATAAACAAACGACAAGTGGAAAAAGGACTACGAATTAATTTGTACACTTAATACTTAATTTGCACGTTAATCGTACTTACAGTAGAATGATTGCGCGCGGTCATCATTGAACTTCACGCGTCGTTGTACGAGGCAAAAGTAGAAAAGCACCGTACGATCACAGACCGCCGGACGCTCTCGTGTTTAGAGACACAGTTTTGCTTTATATGCAAGCGTTACGTATGCATTAATCGCTCGAAGGCAAAGCCGCGTTTGATACGGAAAGTTTATGGAAGCTATCGAAGTGACCTTCGAACTTTGCGAGCTAGAGAAAAAAAAAAAAATTGCACGCGATTGGAGAACACAAGAGTGCGAGCCAGGTCTAAACGTTCCACAATCTCCTCTCCTTGCTTGCCCTGACTTTCTTTTCTCTCTCTCTCTCTCTCTCTCTCTCTCTCTCTCTCTCTCTCTCTCTCTCTCTTTCTCTCTTTCTCTCTCTCTCCTCCTACGAATCTCGCGCGAACATTCTCATCTTTCACGTCGGTATGTGTGAATGCATCCATTGTGCAGGCTGTGTTTTAGGCTTGTGCATTGACTGTCCTTAGGCGTGCGTTTTCTTTTTCCCGTCCTCCCCCTTTTTTTTCCTTTTCCTTTTTACCCGTTTTAGACCTTGATACGTAGGACACTTACACGCTTTGGTTTCGCTCGATGGCGTAACCGATCGAGGTACTTCTCTCGAGGAAACTGCGCGACGCCACCGCCAATTTCGAGCGGCGAGAGAGTAAAGAAAAGAAAATGGAGGGGAAGGTGAAGCTATTTCGTCGAGAAGCGTATCTCATCGAATCGAAACGAACGAAGGTGCACTTTCCATCTTTTCTGCTTTTCACCTCGATGAACGAACCATCTCTGATTCGGAGGACGTTGACCTCGAAGACCTTGACATTCCGCCATCCCTCACGTTTCTGATCTCTCACGTTCAGTTCGACGTATTTACGTATTAACGCTTGCAGACAGACAGCCTTTACTTCTCTGGCCCGAAAGTAGATGTAGCCCTAGACCGCTACTGCACGATGCGCCGCCGCATTTAACGTTGCACGAACCCTTCGCACGGTGTGTTTCGCCACGGCATTCAATCGAGTTGCATTATAACGCCGCAGCACTTCGTACTCTGTGCGTACAAATTGTCACGACTCGTTTCAGAACTGTCGAACCATCAGCACCCGCTCTAAAAGATAACGAGGTCCCCGATTCTCGAAAATTCATTTTTCCTTTCCGACTATCGCTCGACACACGTCGCGTGTATTCGGGAACAATTCAAAGCGATGCTTGATTTGCCCCTCTATCGATGCGAATACGATTTCCATCGTTTCCCTTTTGCATGAAGCGGAACGAGAACGAATAGTATCCTTGCCAAGACGTTCGTTTCAACCTCCCCCTGTCCAATTCGAAGTAAAACGGAGAAGAACGGGAAAACAAGAACAGATTCTAACGTTCAGTGGTATTGTCCTCTCGAACAACGAGGAAGGATCCCTCTAGCTGTGTCTTTTTTATTTCATCGCGTTGATAATCGCCTCTTCTCCCCATTTAGCGCAGTAGAAAAAAACTAGTGATCACAGTGTACGTGCGCACGCGTGTGATAAATATCTTCGTATTTTAATCCGTGTAGCTATACATATACGATAGTTTACATCCGTGTATAGAGCAATTTATTTTAGATATACGTAACAATACAATATGTGCACACGTGTTTCGATACATACGACATACGGGTCTATTAACATATTCAAATTTTATTTTGTACGATAATTAATGTGCAGAAGAAGATACGAAAGATAAAAATACATTTAAGCGTGTAATAACAGAACAATATAATTTTGGATATAATATAATTTTGGATAACGAGGTACTTAATATTTTAATATATTTCAATTACGACTGTCATTGTTTCAACATATTTTAATATTTAATATCTTTTAGCAATATCACATTCTCATTTATACATTAATAATCACAGGAAATGAAACTTGAATATGTTGATATATCCATACACGGATTAAAACACGGATATATATATATATATATATATATATATATATAGACATACAGACGTGCAATATAGGAGAATCTCTGGTAGACGCGCATTTCGGTTTCGCATTACCTGCGTTTCGTAGTATTCTCGCCTGCACGGCAATCGAAACATTTTTTCACGGCGCTTGGCTCTACGTAGTACATACGTACGTATTTTGCCGTGTGTAGGCAAGTGTGTACGCCCTCCTATTGGACTTCAGGCCGATTGTAGCGATTAATCGTTGCAATTAGACAGCGGCAAATTAATTTTCCAGTCCCAGTTCGCCCCAGCGATTCACGACAAATCAGGATCACGCTGCTATTGTCTTCATCACCCGTTATGTATCACGCGTGTACACTGATCGAGATCGTCTTCCCACGTTTCAAAAAGTCTCGATCGTGAAATTGCGACGATTAATCGTCCCTACGATCGGACGAGACAATCACTCGGGACAATTAATTCCCGCCCGTGTCATACACGAGGAGCCAAATGCCAGGGTAAATCCACGTCGCTGGCTAATGAACAACGAATTTAATTATCGCCCGGGGGGACGCTATAATATTAGATGAATTTGCGGTGGATCTACGCCAACGCGGAATCATCGACTTGGCTAATGAATCAATTATCCGCATTTACGCGAACGATAGACTGTGATGACGATCGATTCTACGGTATCTTCTGCTTCGAAGAACGAGTTCGTAATCGCTCGGTATCTGCAGATTCAAAGATACTTTCACTTTCAATAAAGGGGAAATAAATATCAGTTTCTTTCTGCTGTTAAGAAAAAAAAAATATAAAATTTTCAAAGTTTTTTTTTTTTTTTTTTTTTTGTAATTTTCCAGCGTAAAAGATCGATTTCGGTTTCAGTTTTCTGGCGAACGCGAAGTTTTCCGCGCGGACTGTACCTCAATCGAGAGAATATCCCGCAATTTTTACCGGGTGAAAAGAACCCGAGCGAGTTTCGAAAGACTACCGTGCGGCAACCCACATTTTTTTTCGCTACGATTACCGGTTTACTCGGTTCGGTCTGAAAATTATTCCCGTCTGACCTGTTTCCCGCTGCCGACTCTACAACGCGACTAATCAATGCTTAGACCGTTGCGTATTGCATCGCGGGATCTTCCCCTGGACTAGCTGACTGGTCGCTGATGGGATTCGAAATGCTTCGAACAGCAAAAGGTTTGGAAAATTCGAGTACGACTCGACGCTTGAAATTTATCTAACCGTTTGAACAAACAGATAAATTTGTAGTATTTAAGCGTGTAACGAAAGCTGATACACAAAAATGTTTGATTTAGATTTTAGTGTGGACTGAGAATGGAAGAAAGGGTCAGCGAGATATTTGGTTAACCTACATATACATATAAATATATAGACATAGGATCAAATTGGTTCAACTCATTCGATTAAAGGGTTTAAATAGGGGAAATTTTCTAAAAGGGTTATTTAGATCAATTTTATATAATAAAGGGGTGAAATCGATGTCAGACATTTTCAATAATATCCATGAAAATCTAAAAATTCTTTAAAAGTCTCATCTAAAAATTCTTGTAAGTCTTGGAAATCCTGAAAGCGTAACTCGAAGTTTCTGGGTTTTCTTTAATATTTATATCTGATAACTTTACATTAATTTGCGTAATGCTGGATATTCATCACGCCATCAAATCCCATTACAACTCTCAGTAATTTCAAAACTTCCAGAACTTTCAAGATAACTTTCAAGATACTTTGAAGAGTTTTAACCTTCAAATCATGGTCAAAGTGATTCAAATTTGTCATTAAATATACACTCGCCGGGAGTAAATGATTGAGCATAGACAGTGCAATTTCATTTAAAAAGCTTGATATTCTTATTACGATTGACGAATGTTCTTTTAATATTAATTTTCAAGTTTCATAAACTTGAACTTTTAATAAACTTTAGAAACAACTTGTTTCAATCATTTTAAAATTTCAACAGTGGAACTGTCTTTTCGAAATCGAACAATACTTGTCCGACGTACAAGTTCACTTGCTTCAAATTTGAATTAAATCACAATATAAAATATAATGAATTATTTTTGACTAGTACTTATCAATTAACTAGCAAATATTGATATAAGTTCCTTACTAATTAATTAATTATAATTAAATTTGGATGAAAATTGTAACAAAATGCTACGAGGTATATATTATCTCTTTGCACGATGATTATACTCGTCGAAATGATCATCACGAGAAATAAATAATTATACATTACACTCTGTAGAATCTTCAAGCACCTAATTATTGTAATATCAACGTTGCATACGTTAAAATAAAATTGAACAGAAAAAAAATTCATTTAACTTGTATTTCAAATACAATAGATTCAGAATTTTTGCAATTATTCAAAAGTGTCTAAATATGTGTGCACTGCATAGTAGAAGTGTCTCAAATCCCGTCACTAACTATCCCATCAGATCAGGCGAGTCTGTTTTAAAATTCGATCGATCGGTACTACGGAGAAAACTATCGGCGAAAAATGAGCGTAGATTATCAGCACTACTCTGAGCAACTAGCGTGCTGATAATCTGATGCACAAGTTTCCGTGACAGTGTCGCCGATGATCCATTGCGGTTCTCATTCCGCACGAATCACCTGCCGTGACTCGTTATCTCTGTTTAAATGCAGTTCAAATGCAGAGCTAGTCTACGCGTAAACACACGATTTAACGTGTACCGTTCTCGTTTCAACGTGCTATCCAAATACATACACGGAAACAAGCTATACGAATTGTAATTCCAGTGTGCAATTAATGTCGATGGCAATTCACGTCCGATAATACTTTCGATCGTTTCCATTCCAATTAACGCGCGCGCGACATCCGACTGGATAATTTTGCATCCGACCCGTCTAACGTTTCGATTGAACTTTCGAAAGGGGAAATTAATTAAACGCTAACTGGGGTGAATATTATTTTCCATTGCGTAGGATAATTATTGGAATCAGAGGGCAAGAAACATAACCAAGGGGACGTTCGTTTTCAACTTCGCGAATCATTTTATATTCCGCGGCGTGAAATTTTCATTTTCAATTCCTAACGGTATGGCTATTCAGTATTCCTTGATTCTGTAAAATCTTTGCGAAGTATTTTAAGAGACTGACGTATTTATAACACTGTGATAAGTAGACTGCGGATTTTTACGACTGCGTTTTCTATGGGCATGACTAAAGAAATCGGACTACCAAAGTGATCAAAATGACCAATTTGTTATTTAATTCTTTTTCAATTTGCAACGATACATTTTTAGAAACTTATATGATTATTTATACTCAAACGTATAAATAGAAACTTGTGTTCTGCACTATTGTATCATAAGCTATTCCTACTGGACTATAAGCTCTAACCTTTTCCCAAGTGCATCACTTCAATATCTCTCGATCGATAGTTTTAGTTTTTGTATGTTTCATCTATCTATACACGTTTCAATTAACATTCCATTTTAATTGATATTCTACACATTTTATATATTTCTGCGTGTTAAATGCATCGTGCGTATTTCCACACCTTCCAATTTCCAGATCAAATCCACAGATTAAATCCGCAGTCTAATGACAAACATATAATTTGTCCATCGCGTAAACACAACCTTCTTTTTACGCCGATTGTAATTAATTTGTTTTCAGCTCGCGCCGGGAATCGTTGAAATGTGACGCGACGAAAACGAAAAGAAACGAAAACAGGGAGACTCTCTCGAGTCTTTATTTCCACCGTCTTCTTTCCTTCCCTGCAACCGCGTATCTATGATACTTTTACTTTCGTCTAGAATCTAGACTGTCCATGTATTCGTATATATTTAACGAGAGGAACACGACTTACTTCGCTGGCAGATATAATTGATAGAGATAATTAATTCATAGCCAGAGGAGTCGAGCGACGGTTGAAAATAGAAGGTGCAAGCGCGAGCGAGAGAGGAGGCGGACTTATCAGTTTCACACCGGCCATTGATATGCATGGAAATCCCCTTGACAGTTTTCTGGCCTGAACTAAAAGCTGCCTGAGCATGGATGACCGAGAAACGCCGGCTAACAATTACATTACGCGGCTGTGCCAGCTCCTGGTGGTATTCCAATTAAAGAAAAAAATATGTATCAGTAAAACGAAAGGTTAAAAGGAAAATTTTCACTCGCGGCGCTATCATCCGATTTAATGTCGAGACTATTGATTAAATTTAATTTAATCATTACTTCTCCCTCGACGCCAATTCGATACATTCTTCTTACGAAATTCTTATATTATTTTGCACGAATTTACGTAGTTGTTCAAACGCGTAACATAACAGTTTTAACGAAATGTATCGCCAGAATTGGAAAATATACGATTACGTTACAACGTTACGTGTAACTGTAACGAGGGAAAATCCAAAATAACAAATGACAAAATTAAACAAAGGTAAAACGGACATGACGTTGAAGTTGAAACTCGCGTAAATCTTACTCACGATTGAATACAGTATGAAAAATTAATCTGTTTATTAAATTTACGAACTTACGAATCTATCTATTTATTGAATTTTCGAGTATATTCTAATTTCAAAACTATTTCTTTTTTTTTTTCTCATTAGTCAGTTTGATACCACGAATTAAATTGCAAAACTGAGGGACGAATAAGAATTAACAGGACATCTAGTTTCTCCCATTTTTAATCAATATCTGCGCGATTCTTGATGACCTCCGACACCCGACGAAGTCTCCCACTTTTCACATTTTCGAATAACCTCTTCGTGTCAATTTTTCGTGCACCTTCGTTCGTCGATCAACTATATAATTACTTGCACGTTGCACGATCTTTCCGAGCAGTTGAAGTCGATTGTTTCTTCACCCTTTAGCTTATTGGCGTCACTATGTCCGATAGTGTCATCGAAGTTTACCTTAATGTCACTTTAGATATCCGAATCGAGATTAGATTCATCTACGGAATGAAATGGAGCGTACCTGTGCATGTTTTCTCTCTAACAAGGATCGCACGTGCTATCTTTCGAGGCGATCATCCGACTTTCGTCGCGATGAAACAACGAAATCAGTTCTTTTCTTTTTTAACTTTATAGCGATTCCTTGGTATAACGATCTAATAATTTGACGGCATAAAACGGAGTATTCCCTTACGGATGATCGAGCAGAGAGCGTCGATCTTTATTCATCTATGCAATTGGAGCACAAAGCCGGTGCATCCAGCCGATGCGATTCAGCTTTGATCCAAACGCACCGGAAGAATTATCTCTATTCGATAGAACAAACTGCGATATTTCTATTGCACGCACTACCGTCCATAAGTATTTGGAACAATTAAAAGATTAATACGTCATCAAGCTTTATGATCGAAGAATAGTTCTCTGCTGTTAATCCAATAGTTAGACTGCGGGTTTTCATGCAAATTTGTATTCATTTTTTCCTGTAAATCTAATTAAACAAACGGAATCTAAGTAGAAATTTAATATTTTTAAATATTACTTAGATATTATATATATATATACCATACTTCACGCATCTTGGGCTTCTCGCAACTTTTAATCTCCCACAGATGCATAAAGATGTTATCTAATAATTTTTCGATACACACATTGCTTCTTTACAGTCGAGCTGCGTCAATCGATGCATCGAAGAACATTTAAAAAATTAAAATTAATCTTCACCTTTACATCCGTAAAAAGATTAATAACATCAGAATGTACATGCACATCGCGAGTTTATTCATCTTTCATTGTAACATTTCTCGATAATAACAACGACGTAAATCAAGGGAGAAAATATTAAACGTAAGACACGCATGTACTTAACGCTTGGGTATGTCCAAGTACTTGTGGACGATATTGTACGTCGAGCCACCTTGCGTTCTCCAAAATGGCTCCCTCTTTATTTGTAATAAATCTACCTCGAGATCTATCACCAGCAGATTAACACCAAAGGAGCACGATATTAAATATACTTATTGAAATGTCAACGACACACATACAAGTTGATATTCCACGCACCGTCACACGCAATATACGCGCGAACACGGACAAACGTATATATACACACGCACACACTATACCAACCGCATTAGACGATCGCAAACGAGGAGAGGCAAGTGCATAGACCCTTCGGCGTCGCATCGATCATTCGTGTGCACGTTATTCTGTTGCCTGTTCTAGCATCGTCCAGTGATAATGGCCGTTCTAAAAACGGAACCGTCGCGACGAATCGGTCGCACGGACAGCGGAAATAACGGAATGCAGCAGACACGCGCGCGCGCGCGCGAAGAATCGACCTGTCTCTCTCGAACGTCCTCTCTCTTTCTGCTGTCTCTCTCTCTCTCTCTTTCTGTCTCTCTCTTTCTGTCTCTGCCACTCTGTCTTTTCTCGAAGCTTCTGAAAAAAATCGCGTATCCGAATGCCGAACGATTTACCGGTCGAAGTAAACTACAACAGTCCTGCGACTTAACCTCGCCTCGAGTTCTACCTTTCCGACCAGGCCTTGGGCACTTTTGCTCGGACAAACGTTTGAAAAATGATCGTTTAAACAAACGATACCCAGACTCCTGACATTATCCGGGAAGAATTTCTCAGTTTGTTCGAGCGACGAAGTTAGTTTATTCGCGAGTAATTTCTTACAACAGCGGAAACGTAATTCTCGCAAACTCAGACACATTCTGAGAATAAGCACGAGAGTTTCTAGACTCTGGAATTACTGCTAACAACTAGTTTACTCATGCTTGCCTCGTTTAATATTAATAGAAGCTCCCCGTTTAACTCCCTGAACAAAGGCTCGTTTTGTACTCTGAGATTACATGTTACTTTATACTTTATATTTCGACGAGTTCAACTCAAGTGGAACAACTTGCTTGATAAAACTTGACTTTTCTCTCCGACGAAATAAAAAAAAAAAAAAAAAAAAAAAAAAAAAAAAGAAAAAAAACAAGGAATTAACGTGAAACTATCGCGTTTCAAGTCGTTCGTCGTTCTGTGCCTCTGTTCCGAGCTGAAATTTGCCCAGACCTGCTTTTAATCCCTCCCTCCCCCGGTCGGCGATTTCAACGCCGCCTCTTTGGAATCCAATTTCCGTTGACCTTAATTCACCGCGCGACGCGTCGACAATGAGGCAACACGATGGAAAACGCAGTTGTCGTGCCGCGACGCGTCGCGTGGCGTGGCGTGGCGTCGATCCGCGTGGCGAGAAACGCGACGCGACGCAGCGTGAAAATCGCGGCAGAAGCGACGCGAAGTCTCTCTCTCTCTCTCTTTCTCTCTCTCTCCCTCTCTCTCTCTCTCTCCCCTGCCTCCGGAGGACTCGAGAGGACCGAGAGGAGAACACCCACTCCCCCGAGGAGGGTTCACAAAAGCAACGTTTCGCGAAACTACGAGCCACTCGAGACGCTTTCTTACGCTTTTGTGTCGCTTATAATCGTCTTTCAGTGCAATGTTCCTCGCGTTCGAGCCTCTGATGCAGAGGTACCACTTCCAGCTACTGTTCCAGTCAGGCGGCTAGCCTGAGAATATAGAGAGCTAATTTACCAAAGCGTTGGTAAAGAGAGCGGACAACGCCTGTTTGGATGAACCTTACGGTCTGGACGTGTCGCCTCGGAAAAAAAGAAAGGCGAAAGAGAAAAAGAGAGAAGAGAGAACGACTCTAATTTCTTTTTCTTCTTTCCTGCTTCTTCTTCTTCTTCTTCTTCTTCTTCTTCTTCTTCTACTAGAGAAACGCTTATTTCTTTCTTTCTTTCTTTCTGACTTTCTGACTTTCTTTCTATGTGTGACGTACACGCGCGTGCGTGCAAATACATATACACACGGCGAGATGTAGCATTGCTTCCCGCTTGTTCTATATGTGTTTTCGCCTCGAGATGTTCGCCTCTCGTTTATATAAGTTCGTTTCCCCGCGACACCGTTGCAACCGTTCTCCACCGTTGTTTAATTACCACTTGATTAATCAGAAATCGATTTCCGCCCTCTGGAACAGAGAGAGCCTCGAGCCACTCGAGACCTCCTCTCGCCGCAGGAGAGGAAAAGAAAACGAATCGGCTTGTAGAACGATCGTACGAGAAAAAAAAAAAAAAAAAGAAAGAAAATCGTGTAGTCTCGCCTGTTTTTTTTTTTTTTTTTTTCGTGTTCAAACGAAAGACGATTTTTAGAGTAGACCCAAGACGAAAGATCTCAAGCAGCCCACGATGATTCGTTTCAGGGCCCACTTTGGAACCGCCGTTGCCACGACGGAAGAAATGCCCGGAGCTCGCGTACAAGACGCACGAGTTCATCACGGCGGCCGATGGAGGTGGCATCGACGCCGTCGATTCGAACGTCGTAGCTGACAAAGTTCGGGTACGTGCGAATATCCACAAGCCTGCGAGCGTTTCAGATACTTCTTTGTTTTTCTTTTTTTTCAAATTGTCGAAACACAACCGAAGTTCGAAACTGATAAGCCGATAAGTTTCAAGTCATTTGACAAACAGATGGTATCGTAAATCGATAAACACGTGATCAGTTCGTCCATGTTTTTAAATGGATGATTAAGAAAAGGGAGGATGGGAGGGAAGCAGAAGCGACGTTGACGGAATCATAAAAGGTTATTCAAAGTTTCTTCCAACGCGTAGCCTGCAGGCCAATTTCCAACGAGTTCTTTGTCAACAAGTCGTCGTCATCGAGTTTCCTCTCGCTTGACCTGTTTCTCGGATGCACAATGTCGCAAACGCGTACTCCCGGTACTTCCGTACGAGTGCTCTTTTCTTACACACGTTTCTCGTGAATTTCACGCGAAATCGTAGCCATTGAACACATATTTAACTTGCCTACGAGACAAGTTTGGTGTCTAGTTTGGTCCTTTGATTTTGCAACGAAATTTGGTACCAAATGATCAGTCATTGAAAATTTTCAAGTTGAACAGTTAGTCGCTGGGAAATGAAAGGTCAAAGCTGCTATTTTACTTATGAATTGAAGCGCAGTTCGTAGTATTAACGTAATGACGGATAGCTTCTTTGACCCGTTCGTGTCTCAGAAATCAATTGTCAACTCGACTCGAACTTTGGACTCGCTGTCCAAAAGAAACTGTTCTAAGGAACAGACGATCTTCCCCTCTTTTAAAGGAGTAAAATTATAAAAATGCCAAACTTGTGGGCTGCAGGAAGTGACAACGCAGTCGGGCTTGCCGCCGAGTCAACTGAGCAAAGCGATCTCGCGGATCAGCACCGAGTATCGGCTGCAGTTCGCCTGGCCTAGAAGACCTCAGCTGACGAACGGCGAGACAGTGGCACCAGGAGTCACGGCCGCGGGAGTTCCTGCAGGTACGACCGGACCACCTAGAAAGTCTCTCAGCATGGGAGCTCTTAAGCAGGGTATCGCCCCTACAGGACCTGCCCCGGTTCACAAGAAACGACCCGGTGATGTGGATCACAAGCGTGACGGTAAATGGAACACCTCGACAAACTTTTTATCCTCCAACCAAACTTGGGTTCGCTACCTAAGGCGCCCCGAACCGTTTCAAGTAGCAAAAAGTATCGATTTTTTTTTAGTCTTCGAACACCAGCTTCGTCCTCCTTCTTGAACGTTTCTAATCTCTGTTTGTGTGTTCATTTTTTTTTCTTTTTTTTTTTTCTTTTTTTTTCCTTCCTCTCGATATACTCGTAGGAATGCAAGCGTCGGAGTTGGAGCCGTTGGTCGGAGGAACTGGAACTGACACCATTGACGGAGTGGTGCCCGAGGGTGACGAGCGCGAAGAGGACATGTCGGACTTGAAAATAGCTTTCAGGTCAGAGTTCAAGATGATCGCGTGCTCCTGTGATCGCGGTACAATCAGCCAGGGAATGACTCGGCGTGTAAAAAGAAACAAGTCGAAGAGAAAAGCGACTTCTCTGTGTTAAGAACGTTTAAGAGGAGAGAATCGAGTTTGAAAATTTCGTCGAGTATAGTTGAACATGGTTGATTCACATTGGACAGAAACGAATAATAGATTATTCCATAAGATGGGCCAAAAATCACTTCCTGCTAAAATAAATCCGTAATATTTTATTATATGTTTTAAAAGAAAATTTTTTTTTACAGATTAAAGTATACTAATTTGAGTTCATGTTCGAATTCTATCCTCACGGGTAAATTACTCTTCTTTTGACCGTGGAATTAATCAAATTCAAATACACAAATGAAACAAAATCTCGGTTTTCTCGAAAACCAAGTGTCTCAGACGAAGAAATATTATTCTTTTTCTTTTCGACCCATTTTCACACGCAAAATCGCCCTCTGACCGGCTGCGTACAGAGACGCACGCCCGTATAATTCGAGATAGCTTATCGAATTCGGCTCCCGTACGCAGCATCGCTGCGACGAAGAAATTCAAAGGGGGAAGAACGAGAAAGCACCTACGACGATCCTAAAGTCGATTGTGACGCGTTTCGCGCGTATATACGCATATATATATATATGTATGTATATATTGCACCGATCGAGAGAAAATGAGAAAAATGAAACGCTAAAAAAAGAAAAAAAAAAGAGGACGTACAGCTAGAATACCCTACAACCACGATTGATTCTTTTCAGGGGTAAAAAGTCAGGTAGAACCGTAAGGATATTGGATGATAAGGGGCTGAGCAAACCACAGGAGAAACCGTTTCCTACCGCCGAAGTCATCGAGCTTAGACGACTCGCTGACGAGTACAAGGTAATTCCGGGAACAAAGACGTCACTGTTCCACACCCTTTCTTTCACGGACGTTTGTTCTTCGACGTTTCAATCGGGAACGACACTCCCTTTTTCCTCCTTTTCTTTAGTGTCTTTCGGTTTTTCGAGTGTGTGTGTATGTATGTGTGTGTGTCTTTTTTAAATATACATCCTGTTACGAACACAGAGCCACAGAAGGTGAACATATTGTCAATTTACGAGTTACGAGCACTGAAATTTGCATGATGTTCGTCTTGTCATTTGTTTCCTCCCCCGAACGATTTTTCTAACCGTTTGTCTCACACAACACACATTGTCTTGAACATCAATCGGCCATCGTCGTCACGGATCATGAGAAATCGAGTACGATCTTCTCTCTCTTTCTCTCGAGCTCGCATACTCATCGTACACATGCATGTACATATACGCATAATTCTCAGACGTCAAAATCGATCGAGATCAATGCATACAAAACTTACAATTAGTACGATCTGTGTCTTTCAAAGCATGTTCTCTATATATGTGTGTGTGTGTGTGTGTGTGCGCGCGTGTGTATTCTCACGTGTGCGACAATGCCGCCACAAGCGCGTTATAGCTTAGTGACTAGGAAGTAAAAAGCAACAGAATGATTGGTTCTGATTTACATTAGCATCGCGACTGGGGTTGCGGTCTGGCAGCCGAGGACGAGGCTTCGCTGTGGAAACGAGTCTCCAGTAACCACGCTCTCAACGCGCTGTCCCTTGCCAGGCCAGTACACTACTCCACTCTCTCAAACATCCAACTTCGTTCTATGTTCGCTTGACGGTCAAAGTCAATGACGGTAAAACGGTGTTCGTTTCGCAGCACGATCAACAAAGACACGAAAGGTAGAAGAACGTCGATGGTAAAATCGTTGAACAAACGTTGAACGAAACGATCACTGGTTGCGCGAATGAAAATAAGTTTCACTATTTAGTTAAAGAGGTTAGAGCACGGTCGGTTCTACAGACGACGCATTACACATTACATTTCTCTCTCTCTCTCTCCTACTTTCTACAAAATATTTATATTACAGCAGGTAGTCTGTGATTATTTTTCATTAACTTATGAATTTTCATTAAAATCTAGTATTCCTGATGTGTCATCATGGTTTATCAGGTGTCACTGTAAAAAAAATTTTTTTTTTTTTTGGAAGGCAAGAAATATATTGGTTTTCCTGGTTGGTCAACCCTCAGTTAGAGATTAAACGTTAAAGAAATAGTTGCAGTCCTCTGATATCAGACAAAGTTTCTCGAGTACAACTTGATCTTGATTTTTGAGCGGTTTATTGGATAAAAAGTTGTTAGGTTGCTATAGATCAAAGAATTTTTTTGAAATTTCGCATACCTGTTTCAACATGTTTCAAGACAACGTTACTATTATTATTATTAAAATTATTGTATATTGATAAAAATTAATTTAATCTACATAAAAATGTTTATCTCGCGAACTAGAGTTAATATCGACAAGTATCGACATCTGAAGAGTCATTCTAATTCGATAAATAACCATTCTTAGGCAGATTAAATTCATCTTTGATTTTTCAAATGAAGATCGTAACAGCCCTTAAAAGCGTTAAATTGCAACAAACATACAGTAATTTGAATGATAATAATAAAGGTAGAGATGTAGGAAAATTACACCATGTTATCTTAGAGACACGAGCAAATAGGTATATGAAATTTTAAATCTCCAAACACAGGCATACGCACAGGGAGCGGCATCGTCTGACTCAATACGGATAGATTCTACTAGCGCTCGATCGCCGACACTCGTTACTTAGGAGAGCGACGGATCGGTGATCGATTCCGACGATGAATTTTCCATCGTTTATCGTTGATATTCGCTGCCAATCAGTCGTCAGAAACAGACTCTTCCATTCATACACACACTGTATACACTCGAGCGAGAAAAGACAGAAGGAAAGAAAAGAAAAGAAGAGAGTCAAGCGTAGTTGTACAGGGGGCCGAGTCGTTCGAACCGTTCGCACAGGTTTTGTCGTAGCTGCCTTTTATTTCTTCCAAGGCGATTGTGCCTCGCGCCAAACTGTCAACAGTCGACGAGAGAAAGAAAAAAAGGAACGTTCGTGACGAGTGATTGCGTATTTAGGTCGGTGACGAAGGAAGAGAAAGAAAAGGAGAACACGAGGAAGGTCGCCCCGGTTACTGCCACGATGACTATGCCCCCCGCTGGCCGACCGTCTTCGGTACAAGCTAGACCCATTCATGGAATTTTGCAGGACGATTCTAAAGCGGTACGTGAGTGTTAATCGACGATGAAGGAAAAAAGGAAAACATGAAAATTTATATACTGCATTGCAGGACACGGAAAGAGCCATTGCTCGCGCAAGAAAAGATTTCTTGATCCGCCATCATTTGGATCGTACCACTGGCGTAGGTGAGTGTCGTCGAAACGTGTAGTATTAAAAGACAAGGTTCAATTGGCCTAAACATGAGATCCATTTCATAGTAGAAATTTTTAAAGTTTTCCTAACACTCGATGACACGATAATTATTAAACAGTCAGGAGGTTAAATCTTCAGTATTCGATTAGTAAGTTTGAAACTTTACCGCGTGCGCTACTGAGCGCTTATTACATTTATCATTTCGAAACTGTATCGCAATTTAACACATTTAAAACTTTCTGCGACGTAATTCCCCGTAGACATACAATTGATTTCAACGACTACTATATATATGCGGAGAAAACAGCATTGTTGTAACATCTAAGAGTTCGGTGAGACTGGATATAAAGCAGGATGCTTACATTAGGCAACATTAGGCTTTCTTTTTCAAAATGATCTTTCCTTTCTTTTCATTTCTCGCGTCAGGTGACGGCGCACTGCTTCCCTCTCCAACGAGAGAGAAGCTGGAGCCCGTGATACCACGGCGTCGGGAGGAAACGAAGGAGCACCGTGAAGAGATCCAGCCTAAGACCAAATCCAGCCCTAAGAATAGTCCGAGAACTGGTCGTTCTCAGAGCCTCGGTCCGACTGTGACTGAACGTCGATCACCTAAACGTCAACCACCGCGTGCACCATCCGTCACTAAAGACGCCAAGGTATTTTTTTTTTTTTCAGGAACCATCGACGAATATCCAATGACGTTTTTTTCTTTTTTTTGTTTTTTTTTTTTTTTTTTTTTTTAAGATTTAATTAACACTTGAGACTCGATCGT